TAATAAATGTATTTCATTTTATTATCTTTTTTTATAATAAACTAAAATTATGATTATTTGCAAATAAAAAAAAGTGATAATATATATATATATATAAATAAAAGGTACTGATAGATACTCGATAGAGGGAAAAAAACTACCCGATACACAGAGATATATCGTGCCTGATATATAGGGATATATTATGGCCGATTTATAAAAGATATGTATCTGATAAAAAAAATAAATAAAATTAGGTACCCAATATATGAATGATAAATTTGAATAAAATATCAAAATATTAATGCTTGATATGAAACCGATATGTACTTGATAAGTGCCCAAACTTCTGCATTTTGATTCCACCAATTGGGTACCCAATATATTACATAATTGTTGATATCGGACACCTATCGTATACCTATCGGACTCCCGATAGGCATATGATAGGTATCCGATATTCCCTATTTCGACCAGTGTATGTATTTAATTTTATAATAATAATAAAATAATATTGCTAATATTATTATAATTATTTATAAAATTATACAATTTTAGGTAAACAAATATTATGAGTTTAAAATTTTTTTTATATGATAACTAAGCAAACCTTATTTATCACACATATATATATTATCTGAAATTCTATTATAATTATATATAAAAATAACAATTGACATAATTATATATAAAATTATTAATTAATATTATATAAAACTTTTTATTTTATAAGTAAATGCTAAAAACAGTACTAAATAAACTCAAATATAAAAATTTATCATACTCATGTAAGAAATGCAAGTTAATTTTATTAAAATTAAGTGAATTATAGCTATTTTGAATTTTTTTATCTGTTTTAACTTTAACTACTCATAGTTCTTCTTATTTTAATGATATATGTCTATTCTTCTTGTAAAAAATATAATTTATTCCTATCTTTAAGATTATTTAATATTATTTTTAATATTTTTTTATTAAAATACAAAGTTTATATGTAGTAATGATGATGAGTTATTTTTAATTTGTAATTTATAAATTTTTTTGATAATCATATTATAATGACTTGATATTATTTTTTACTAATAGGAAAAACAAAAAATTAATTTTGTATTTATTTTTATTTTTATATTATAATTTACTTTAATATAAACTAATATTATAGTTAATATCTGAATTTTTTTTTAATTTAAAATGTTAAATATACAATCTAATTTATTATTTTATACTTTTTTAATTAATTAATTTATTTTAATAAAAATTTATAGAAAAATTCAAATACAAGAAGAATGTTTTAATGAAGTTTTAATTTAATATTTAATAAAATAGAGCATTAATTAAAACTCTGATATTAATTTTTAATAAAGTTAATTAAAGACTCTAATATAAATAATTAATAAAATCATTTTTAATATATTGTTATAATTATTAAAAAGGTGATTCAACTATAATTACAAAACTAGAATATTGATTTTTCAAATAATATTATAAATATTACTCCTTAATTAGAAAATAAAAAATTAATAATAATAAATTTGCAAACTTTATAAATTTTTAACTTGGTGAAAGGTGAATATTAGTATTAGAAGAATAATTTAATAATTATTGTTAAATTCAAAGTGAAAGCTTTCAAATAGTAATAAAAATATTCTAATAGAAAATTGATTCCTGTTATATAAATTAATCAGAAATCATATTATTTTTAAATAGTGATAATTAAATAAATAATAATTTTAAAAGATAATTTAATTTTGATTATAAAATCAGAAACAAGATTTTCAAATAATATTAAAATATCTTAGTAGAAAATTGTTTCTTATTATTTAGTTTTAATTCAAAATTATATATCAAATTTATAAATAATTAATAAATATGAAATTTATAATTAATTGATGATTATAAACTCAGTAATTAAATAAAATATATATAAACAAAAATTAAAAAATTGAAATTGAGTTAAACAAAATTTTTATTTTTATTAAGTCAGACATAATTAAAACTTGAAAAAATTGAAATTGAGTTAAAGGCTTTTTACTTTTGACAACATGTATACAATTATATATATTAGGTATGAATATATATAATATTTTAATTTAAAATAATTTAGAACAACTTAGAAAGTTTAAAATAGTTTAAAAGATTTAAAATAATTTAAAAAAACTAAAATAGTTTAAAAACTTTAGAACAATTTAGGAGATTTAGAATATTTAGGAGGTTTAGGAAGTTTAGAATAGTTTAGGAGGTTTGGGCAGGATCAAGATAAAATTCTGAAAGGTTTAGGAATTTCAAAATAGGTTTAGCTTCACTCTTTACATTTAGACATGTTGGAATGAAATTTTTTGTAACAATACTGGATAAGATTATTAATTACCGTATGTTACACTTTCCAAATATTAATTTTTATTAAATATTCTAAGAACTTGGAATTTTTTTATATAAGGAAACCATATTTGTCACCTTTAATTTGTCACATGAAATTAGCACATAAGAATATTCTGTTCACCTGGACCAATGAAATTCGGAAGGTGCACAAGATAAGAAACTGTACCTTGGCCAAAGACACATAAAAATTTGAAACCATGTAAATTCAAATATTTGAAAATTTTCTATGTAAATTCAAATATTTTTAGTGCCAAACTAACCATATGATTTTAAGCCAATCAAAATTGTCAAAATTGATTAAATCGTTGTCAAAAAATAATCGTGGTCAAAAATTATTTCACCTTGTTCATAGGCACAAGAATTTTCTGAGGATCTTTTCGTGGATAATAATAAACTTTTTTGCAAGTTTTGTAATATAAGTATTAGCTGGCCATTATTACTACGCATATAAATTCAAAAGCCCATAAAGATTCCTGCCGTTCATATGTTGCTACCAATCATAATGACCACAATGGTGGTCACAGATGGGAAAAACAAATAATTCATGATTTAGTAATATTCTTAATGATAATAGACAAAATTTAAGTACTGAATCACTTAAGATATTAAATATGATATATTTTAATAACTTAGGTTATTAAAATTTATGGTTTTTAGTTATCAAATAATAAAAGCAGCCATTAAAACAAAAAATTATTAGCGATTTTCCAAATAAATAAATATTTGAAATAATCCAAATAATTTTTACGTGTCGTAATATTTATGATCACCTGCTAACTATGACCAATAAAAATCTAATATCTCGGGTCCAGAATAAAATCCTGCTCTATCAACCATCAATTTAAAGATGCAACAACATGAATTGTTAGATCCACCATCTGATGCTATTTCATCAGTTGTATTTAGTCCTACCACTTCAACTCACTTACTAGTATCTTCTTGGGATAAGGTATTTAGATAATAAACATGTTTTGCGATCCGATTTACATCTCGTTAATTTTTCTTTTTTTTTTCTTTTATGATATATTTCTAGACTGTAAAATTATATGATGCTGTGGAAAACTTACTTCGAGGTTCATATAATCACAATGCAGCAGTTCTTGATTGTTGCTTTTCTGATGGTTCTCATATATACAGTGCCGGTTTAGATCATTGCATTAAAAGGTAAGATTTTATAAAGTGTTTTTTTCCGATTTGATTTTACTAACACGAAATTATGTAGTTTTGATATAAACACACACAATGAATTCATAGTGGGAACACACGATAAAGCAGTGAAATGTGTAGAATATAATATAGAAAACAGTAAGTAAAAAAAAAAAAAAAATCTGATTTCAAATATGATTAGATTTTCTTTAATTTAGTATTAAATTAAAATAAATCGAAAATAAATTTAAAAATATATAGATATTATTGTGAGCGGTTCTTGGGATCAAACTATTCGATTATGGGATATTCGTAATAAGGATGCACAAACCGGGAAATATCATATGGGTGACGGTTCGAAAGTCTTTGCGTTTTCATTAGTATCTTTTCAATTGGTTGTAGCCACTGCTGGAAGACAATTTTTTATTTATGATATAAGAAATATGTCCGAACCACTTCAAAAACGTGAAAGTAGTTTGAAGTTTATGACCCGATGTGTAAAATGTATGCCTAATCGAGAAGGTGAGGAGAATAATATATTCATTTTTTATGTTTTTGTTTGTCCCAAGATTAATAAACATATATCAAAGATTAATAAATAAATAAGTATATTTATATATATTCTAATTAAAATCTAATTTATCACGTATACTCTTCGTAGGATATGCATGCAGTTCAATCGAAGGACGCGTGGCTGTCGAATTTTTTGATCCTTCCAGTGAAACACAATCGCGCAAATACGCTTTTAAATGTCATAGACGAGTTGTTGATGGCATCGACACCGTTTATCCTGTTAATGCGTTAGCATTTCATCCCTCGTGAGTAAACTTGAGTAAATTTGATATATATTACATGTAGAGATTTTTTTCTAACCACAATTACAAAAAAACGCGAATATATTGAAATACAATAATAGGCACGGTACATTTGCTTCAGGAGGAGCGGATGGTGTCGTGAATATATGGGATGGATTCAATAAAAAACGATTACGACAATATCCACAATATCCAACTAGTATTGCAAGTTTAGATTTTAATAAAGATGGAACATATTTGGCAATAGCTAGTAGTTATACATTTGAAGAAGGTGAAAAAGATCATCCACCAGATTCAGTTTACATAAGACAAATTGGTGAAAATGAATGCAAACCTAGACATTTGACTGCTGCCGCTGCATGATATTATTTTTATTTTTCCGGTGATTAGAATATTTGAATTAGAATTAGATATATATTATATAAAATATTCAAAGCAATACCAAGATACCTTCGAGTATGTAAACAATTTTTTTTTTTTTTGAATTTTTATAAGATACTAAAATATATATTTATATCCTTTTTTTTTTTTTGCAGAGGGGATTTTATTCTTTTCTTGCAATTTAATCAATTTAATAAATAAATTTAGTACAATGAATAAAAATTGTTAAAATTCTACAATAATAATATTAATATTAAATTATGACTTGTTAAATACTTCAGTCACTCATTGTCACGTGGATAGGTAATAGGTTCAAAAATTTTATCCATCTGTAAAATCAGGTAGTGTAGGATAAGGCTAAGTACATTACCATAATTCAGAAATTTGACTTTAATCGTATCCAACTTTTTTAGTGGTATCAAAATAATATATAAAATTTGAAATATATTCCTTTTAAAAAAGTAAAGTTGGTGCCTGCTTGGGGTAACCGTGTTAGCCGTATCCCACTTACGCGTGGAAACAGTGTTTATCTCGTAATAATACTTTTTTTAACCGAAAACGAGAACTTACTGAATTTACGGGAAGTTTTGAGTAGCCCTCGTCCAAGAATTCACGTCCTTTTAGGACCTCCCAACTCTGGGAAAACCATTTTGGTTCAACAAGTAGCCGATAAGCTTCCTTTTAAACCCTTATTCTTTGACTGCCGTGGAGGAATTTTTAGTACACCAACAAATATGTACTATGCAATTATCAACCAATTTTATCCATATTTTAAACAATTATCAATATCTTCTCCAAGTATTAAGGTTGATACACGCAATATATTCAAGCGAAAATCTGAAATCAACGCTCAAGATGTTATTGGGTTACTTCGTAGAATTTCTGACCCACTTTTAAAATGGGCTCAATGTGAAAGACAACCCGCACCCATTTTGATAATTGATGAGGCAAACATGCTCAAACTTCTTGGTGACAATTCAGAACTCGCTCTTAAGTCACTTCTTACCTGGTTAGTAAAAGATTCAATACAAGATCAACGTTTCCATGTGGTGTTTACTACTTCCGATCCACTATTTTTAAATTAGATTCAAATAGTAAGAACGAAAGTTATTTGATGATTATTCACGTTTTAATAAGTAAAAAAAAAAAAGTCTTCTCCAATCCAATAATTTATATTCGTTTTTATTTGTTTCCTAATAGTATTACACATTTCACATTTAACTCCATATGTTGTGGGAGATTTAAGCAAAGAAGACGCCGAGGAATTCTTCGAATCCTATTTGCTTCCTCAATTTGGTTTTTTTTTTTTTTTTTTTTAATTAAATCTTCAAAGTTATCATTATAATCTAATTTATTTTATTATAAACTTATATGATGATGTTTATTTTAGATTCTAAAATTAGTAGTGAACTTAAAGGCAAATTTGACTATGTATCCAAAGTCACTGGTACACGTATGTATGTGATTGAAAAAGTTTGTTGAAGAATACAAATATCACAAAGGAGAAATTGAAAGTAAGTATTTTTATTTTTTTTTTATTATATAAAATAAATAATTTTATAGAATTTTCAATGTTTGAACAAGAATATAATCGATTAAAATCCGGTCTTGAATATGAAAGACCTAAAAAAAGTCATAAACTTGAAGAAAAGCCTCATACCCCACCACCACTCTGGGAGGGAGACGATCTTCGTGAAACCATGACACAATTTGTAGAAAAAAGTAATGAATTCATTTTTACGAATGATTTAGTTTTAGAAATTGGGGAAGATAAAGTCAAATCACTTCTTGAACATAATTTTTTACATCTTCGACCAACTCAGAGATTCGCATATTGAAAACGTGAATGTGTCAAATATAGGATCAATTCTGACACCAACGAATCGGCTATTATTCTGTGCAATGGAACATATTTATCTAATTTTTTTTTATTGCGTAAAAAAAAAAAAGATTATGGTTTTTTTTACAGTATAACTTTTTTTATATATCCAATTAATCTAATAGTTGTTTTTAGAAAGTCAAAATATAAATATATAATAATAAATAATTTGAACTCTAAAACTTTATTTTATAATTAAAATATTACTAGTCAAATGACTAAAAATAGGTTAATATTTTAATCACAAATTTCTAAAAATAAATAAAGTTTTATCGCCGCAGTCAAAGATGAAAGATGGACTACAAATAGGATAAATGGGTCTGAACCTTTTGGTTCGCATTGAAAAATGATTAGAGAATTGATTAAGTCATATGATATATTGACATTTTGATTGGACCAACTTTATCTTATGACATTTTCTGATATCTACATATTATATATTGATATGTATAAAGGAAATTTTTTATTTTAAATATTTTTTTGGGGACCTTTTTTTTTTTTTTTAAGTATATTCAGTTTTTACTTTTTTTTTTTATTTAGGTATCGAAAGTTCAAAAGCATTTAACAAATAAAAATAATATTAAAAAAAATTATTAAATATTATCATTTATTATATAAAAATATTAATATTATTAAAAATAATTAAATATGAATTATGAAAGAGGAGACGATGTTGGTATGTTATCAGTAATTCCACCAACGTCAATTGCACTTGCCGTAGAACCAGACGGATCTAGTCATAGAGAAGCTATCGTTTCAGTATCTCCAGCTTCGCCTCAAGAAGATTCGGCAGGGTTTAGTGGTACCGCTGGAGGGTTTAATGACGGAGGAGGAGTATTTGTAACACCTCAAGCCACTAATCCAACTCCAAGTATAGCCTTAGCAGTTGGTACCACCTTTCAGAATTGGGAACATGTAGATGAATATTTGGATATTTATGGTAGAGAGAGAGGATTTGTAGTTAGAAAAAAACGAGTTGAAAGGGATGAAATGGGAATGGTTAGAAAACGAACATATGATTGTGAACATGGAGGAAGATATACACCTAAAAAGAAAGCAGCAGTACATGAACAACGTAATCGAACATCAAAACGAATTGAATGTGGATGGCATATTAATCTTTCATTTCCTAAAACCAGTTCACATATAACTGTTACAACATTTGTTAATGAACATAATCATGAACTTAATAATCAACAAACCAGAGATCAAACGAGACCAACAACACAATCATCTACAACTCAAACAGTTCCATCACCGAGATATCGTAGTGTAATAGAAGCAGCATCATCACCAAAGAATCGTAATTTACCTAAAGCAGTTCTTGATGATATCGAATTTTATACTTTACACGGGAATCTTGGTGTAACAACTCAACGACAATTATTGAAAGCAAAATATCCTAATCATCAATTACCAGCTCGAGATATTGCTAGTGCAGTACAAAAGTTTAAAGGAGGAACGGATTTAAAAGGATTAGAAAATGATGCATCAAAACTTTGGATTTGGGAATTAGCAAGAAAAGCAACAACGATTGCAGTTAATCAACAGGATAACAGTTTAGAAGAAATTTTACGACGGTATATTAGAGAAAAAGAAGATCCCATCGTGATTAGACAAGCGACGCAACCAACTCAAGAATAAAAATCCAAGACAAGAAGGGAATATAAAATCAAGACAAGAGAATAAATCAAGAATAAATTCAAAAATATCAAAAATATCAAGGATAAATATCAAAATTATCAAGAATAAATTCAAGAATATCAAGAATAGATATTTATGTTGTAAAGTTTTTATTTTATTTTATTTTATTTTATTTTATTTTTTTGAACAATTTATGATGGCTATCGTCTATTTAGGCTATTTAGGCATTACTTTTTTTTTTTGTGGAAATAAATAAATTATATTTGACTTTTTTTTTTGATTTTTTTTTTAAATTTGGGGGGACTTTTGATTATTTTTTCTGCTTTTTTTTGGGGGAGAAGACGTGTATATATTGTGTGTATTGTGGTGTGTATTGTGTATAGTATTAATAGTAGTAATAGTAGTAGAATTTAAGAATTTGATAAGAGATGAATTTTGAGAATTTGAGACAATCTACACAATTGAGACACAAATTTGAGACTTGTAAATGAATAAATAATTTTTATAGTAATTGCTGGAATAGTTTTTATGATTTTATGTACAAGAAGAAAATTAATATCTTATATATTTTTTATTTTTTTCTGTTTTTTTTTTTTTTTTTTTTTTTTTTTTTTTATTTTTTTTATAAGTGATTATTATATTTGAATTAAATAATTAAATGAATGATGATATAAGAAATATTTAAAGAAAAAGTAATCATGTTATTACAACACATATATAAAAATAATGAGTAATTGGATTCTTTTAATCTATATTTTTTTCATTTTCGGAACTTTTATCATTAGATAAAATAAATTCTACTATTTTTTCATGATTATTTTGTTGAGCTTCATAAATTGCAGTTTTACCTGCTTGATTCTTGATCTAAATTATAATATATAAAATATTTGAGAAATATAATATAATAAATGAATTAATGAGAATATAATAAATGAATTAATGAGAATATAATATATGAATTGATGAGAATATAATAAAATGAATTGATGAGAATATAATAAAATGAATTGATGAGAATATAATAAAATGAATTTATGAGAATATAATAAAATGAATTGATGAGAATATAATAAATATAAAACATAATGAATATATGAATGTATGTGTCTGTATATGTGATACCTTTATATCAGCCCCATTAGTTATTAAAAATTTAACTACTTTTTCATGACCATTCAATGCACTCCAATGTAATGGTGTATTTCCTGATTCATTTTGTGTGTTAATTACATCATCTTTCTGTTCTAAACTTTTGAATTTCTCTATTATATATTCAACAATGTCTATTGATTTATTATTATTATTATTATTATTATTATTATTATTATAAAAATTATATTATTTTTAAAAATCATTATTATTAAAATCATATATTATTTAAAATTCTTATAATTATTATTAAAAAATTAATAATTTTTGAATTTACCCACGTGTCCATTAGCACTTGCCATATGTAAAGGAGTATTCCCATATTTATCTTTTGCAAAAAGTAAAGTAATGGGATTTGAATTTATTATTGATTGTAATTCTTCAAGTTCACCATATCTTGCACTTTCTACAATATCATCAATTACATTTTCCGTCAAAGACATTATTAATTGATTGATTGAATAAGATAATTATTATTAGGATTTAATGAGAGAGAGATGAGATTCAGAATAAATAGAAGTAAATAAAAAGTAAAGTATAAAAGTAAAGTATATAAGTAAAGTCTTAAGTGATGAGATTTAGATCGTGGATCGTGAATGTTAATCAAAATTATCAAATTATCTAAGCATGTGTTTGTAAATCCGTAGATCAATCACCACATTGTTATTTCAATTCGTTTAAAGTTTTTTAAAGTTATATTTCAATTCGTTTAAAGTTTTTAAAAGTTATATTTCATTTTTTTTTTTAGTTATTCTCAAGATAAACTTTCTTTTCCTTTATACACTTTATACGCTTTATATGATATTTTGATGATATCTTGATGGCAGGACTAAAAAGTAAAAATATAATAATAGAATTAATAAAAAATTTATATTTACATTTTTAAAATCTAATATAATCTAATATAATCTAATAAATATAAATATATAAATTTTACTATAAACTGTAAATATGAATATTGAAAATCGATAGCGTGAGTATTGATAAAATACTATTAATAAATTATAATATAACTGATAACTTTATTATTTTTTTTCTATTTCTAGTATTATCGCTTTATCTTTTGTGCTTGCTGTTGGATTTTTACTTGTAATTTTATCTGGAGCATTATATGGGTAATTATAAATAGTTGAAATGATATTAAAGAATATTAAGGAATATTTGATCATTATAAATCATAATTTTTTTTTATTTATTTATTTTAGAAATTGGTTGATAGTTTTAGTTGGTAAGGATTAAATTACATTAAATTATCTATTTTTAGAATCGACGTACATGTAGATAGATAGATATATATATATATAATTATCTTTTTTATATAATAGTCGCGACATATGTATTAGCTCCTTTACCTAATTGGGTAACTTCTAGATGTGCTGGTGGATATGATTATTATTCAGATGGTCAAAAGTAATTAATTTATAAATTTTTATAATTATTGATTATTTATATATTAATTATTTTTTTCTATATATTTTATTTTATATTTCTATTTTAGTAATGGATGTAAAGACTTTGGTCAATTTATAACTGCTATTTTTATTGTAACTGGAGTTTGTGAGTTTTTATATTATATTATTATTATTATTATTATTATTATATTATTATTATTATTATTATATTATTTATTATTATTATTATTATTTATTATATTATTATTATTATTATTAAATCTAGGTTTACCACTTGTTTTGGCACATTGTGAAGTGGTATGTATATTAATAATTATTATTTTATTACTAATATTCTTATAATATAATATATCATTATTATTTATTAATATATATTATATTAATATTTATTATTATCTATAGATAACATATGCTGCCATGGTCATGAGTATTGCTGGAGGTTTATTGGTCTATGCAACAAGTAATCATTTTTTATTCTTCTGTTATTTTTTTTTTGTTGTTTTGATTATTATTAATAATTCAATTAAATATATTTACATAATTATTGCAAATCACTTGATATATTTATTTTTTTTTTTTATTTTTTATCACATACATATAATAGTTATTGCCTATTCAACATTTTTTGCCAATGAAGGTGATGAATTTTAATTAAATTAATAATCATTATTTTTTAAAATAAAGTTATAATTGTTATTATACATAATTATTATAATGGATAATGATAATAATAATAATAATGGCTATTACTATTGTTCTATTATTACTTACTATAATATAAGTTAGATTATTTTATTATTATTGTATTAATCTCTTGTATATTAAATATATTATTAAATATATTATTTATTAAATATATATATGTATGTGTATATGTATATATTACAGATAAATAAATCAATCAATCAACCTAAATCATTGAATTCTACAAGTTGTTCATTCTTTGCTTGTGCTATTATTAATAATTATAATTATATTAACAGTTAATATATATAATAATAATAATAATAATAATGATAATATCTTAATATAACAATAAAATACTTACTTTCAGGTTCAACAATGAATCCACCACCCACTATACAATCTTTTAATTGAGATTTTTCCATTATTTTAGCTCCATTACAAATAGTACATCCATCTATTTTCACACTAAATAAAGTATAAGTTAAGGTATAAATTAAGGTATAAATATAATATAAAATATATATTACATACTTATCCTCAATAATCACATGATCCATTATTATTGAATTTGAAATCTTGGCATTTTTTCCAATAATACAATGAGCTCCAATAGTAGATCGTTTGATTGGAGTACGTTCATCTATTTTTGTATCATCTCCAACTAATGAATCTGATCCAACCTGAGTTCTCATACGAATTTCTGCTGATGGTGAAATACGTGATATATTTAATTCATTACTTGTTTTTGATAACTATCATTATATTAATATTATTAATATTATTAATGAATTGTTAGATTTTGGTAGAGTAAATTATTATTATTATTATTATTATTATTATTATTATTATTATAAATTAAACTTACATGACGGTTCAAATCACAATATTTAGGAATAGTATTACCCCGACTACAAAATCCTGTTCTATATATATACACTTGACATCTTACAGGTGAACTCTTTGAATCATCATTTCTGGTTGTAGAATATTCATGTGCTATTCTTTGATAAGGTTCTTGAGAATTGGCCACTATTCAATTATAACAAATATATAATATTAATATAAAAAATAATAATAATAATTAATTAATAAATAATAAATAAAAGTAATAATAAATAATAATAATAAATATTAATAATATATAACAATAAGTAATAAATATATATTATATAAGCATTTGAATAACTAGAATAATAATTACATTTATCAATTCCTTCTTTTTCCAATAATAATTTTTGATATTGACATTTTACCAACAATGGAACCAAATGATCACATACACTAGAAATAGCTTTTCTTTGAACTATTAAATCTATGACCCATCTCTTAAATATATAAACGTGTGAATCCTGTAATGTTGTATGAATATTTACTCGAGGGAATTTCCATAATAATGACATCCGTAATGAAAATTCTTCATCCAAATCTGCTCCCGATGCCACATAAATCAAACGTGATTGGGTTGTGGAATCAATTCCTACAAATTGTTTGGAATCCCCTTCAAACGTATTTTGAGGTTCATAATATAATGCTGTAAATGTTGGATCATGTGTTCGATGATAATCCAAGAAGTGATGCGGCATTAATTCAGTAATTAGATCACAACTAATAACTATGAAATCACACTATAAATAATAATAATAATAATTATTAATCATCATGATTATTATTCATTATATTACAATTACAATATTATTATTTAATTATATTTACATTATTATTAATTATCATTAATAATAATATTAATAATAATAATAATAATAATAATTATAAGAACTCTAAAATAATATAATATTATATTGATTATATTACCTTTATTTTATCTTTAATAAGTCTCAAAGCATCAGCAGTTCCAATATCTTCTTTAATCACTTCTAAATTAGGTTTTAGTTTTCCTTCATAAACATTCTTTAAATAATATCCAATTTTATGTTCTCCATTTAATTCTGAAATTATAGTCACATCTTGAAATATTAAATAATAAATATTAATGATAAATTTGGATAATAATTTTTTGGTGATGAAAATAATGAATAATATTATTGGGTAATAATAATAATAATAATAATAAATAAATATAAAAAGAAAAAATACCAATAATTCCAGCCTTTTCTAACCAATTCAAGACATAATGTATCATTGGTTTATTAGCAACTGGAAGTAATGCTTTAGGAACATTATTTTCTTCAGTTAATGGATAAAGTCTTTTAATTTATACATAAATTATATATATAAATTATTGATTAAATTAAATCATATATAAATTATTATTAAATTATTTATTAAAGTATAAAAATTATTATATTAAATTATTACTTATGTCCATATCCGGCAAGAATAATTGCTTGAAATTCGGAAATACGTCCATGATGTTTTTGTTTAGTTTGCTTCTTTTCACTGTCAAAAAGTAACATTTTTTTCAATTTATTAATTAAAAAGTCCAATATTGATCTATGATCACTTAGAACATCTGTGTGAGAATCGGTGACACGAACGCAGATCACTTTTTTTACGTGTCGTCATGCAATTCAGCGAATGTCATGAGCTCTTGTCCGTATTTTACAATAACCACTGTTAATATGCAATAATATGTAATAATACAAATATTATATTTATAATATTTATAATGTATTTATATACTGTATTTATATATAAACCTTTTATATATATATATATATATATATATATAATTAAATAATTGTTTTTTTGTTTGGTTACTACTTTACTACCAACTACCAATATAACAACTAACTAATATAACTAACCAACATTAATGTAACTAATGTAACTAATATAACTAATGTAACTAACCAACTAATGTAATAATAATAATAATAATAATGTTGTTGTTATTTCGTCCTCGCCGAATTTTCTCGTATCATTTATACTTTCGTATTATCAGTGCATCCATTGTATTATAATTATTATTGTTAAATTCATAAAAATGATTATCACCTAAATAATTTTGTGTATTATTACCCGACATATTAAAGATACGATCAAAATGTGGCATGAATTCTGAAGGTGGAAGATATAATTCGAATTCCAATGAAGAAAAAACTGAAAATTCCTGTTCGATAATTTCTTTAGTGGTTAATTCTAAATGTTTGTGTAATGACTAAATAAAAATGTAATATTAGATAGATAGATAGATAGATAGATGATAAGTAAATTAAATAGAATTTAAATAATTATACGTTATAACAATTAAATCAAAAATTTACCTCCAACAATGGAGAATATGAAATTCCCATTGGTTCATTCACTTTACTCGCCAATAATAAACAAATTGCTCCAATTAACTTTCGATTATGTTTGGTTACACGACCCTATATAAATAAATAAAAATGTAAATATATATAATAAAATAATAAATAAAATATAATATATATATATAATAAAAATATAATGTATACCTTTAAAATCAATTTTTCAAAATATGCATAAGCCTTGGCAACTGTCGAAAGCTCTAAATCTAAATCCTAATAATAATAATATTTTGATTATTATCTCACGCAACACACATATGAAACACACACACATATACACAACGCGTATATACCTCATATCTAGAAGCTATTAATAATTTTGTTTTTATTTTACGAATTTGACTTAAAGTCAAAGATGGATCAACTTCTGGATGAGCTTGACGAAAAATTGCATTAGATTCTCGCTTCAAATCAGAAGGACGTGTATTATGATGCATAAGTGATCCCTAAAATACAAATGAACGAAAGAGAATAAATGAGAATGAAATAAACGAGAGTGAATAAATGAGAATAAAATAGAGAATAAAATAAACGAGAGAATGAGAAAAGAACGTACCATAAATCCAGATAAACTTAAAACAGTACGATGTTTGCTACTGCTTTTTAAATCTTGTGAATCAACAGTAGATTGCTTTTCTGTTTTTAATTCAGGATTATCCAAATAAGTTGGATCATAATAATCCGTCACTTTTACCACTATTTCTTGACTCCTAAATTTATTGATAACATTACACAATTAATTACAAAATTAATTACTCTAAATTTTTCTCTCTCAAAAAAATTACCACGATCTAAATATTATTATATATTATAATTACCCCAATGAATTGCTAGGTGTCAAAAGATGTGCATATGATTCTGCCTAAATTCATTAATATATTTATTAATATATTTATTAATATATTTTTATTAATATTTTTATTAATATTTTTTTAATATTTCATTAATATTTCATTAATATTTTTATTAATTTAATTATCAATATCAAAATTTTTATACCTTCTTCCTTCTTTCTGATTCCATATCACTCAATTGCTTTCTTTGTTTTTTTTTTAATAAATAATAATAAATAATAATAAATAATAAATAATAAATGGTTAGTATTAAATAAATAATAAATAACAATAATAATCATTTCGTATAAATAAAAAATGATTTCCTACAATTGATCCCGACGATTTTTTTGTCTGGATTTTTTATCGTTATATCCTAATATTGAAAAAATACCTAAAGGTGCCTATAAACAATAATTAACAATAAAATAATTAATTTATAAATAATTAATTAATTCATAAATAATTAAAATAAATAAATAAATAAATAAATTAATAATTAAATAAATTAGTGATTTACCGATGAACTTGAAAACAAACTATTTGGCAGTTTACGACCGCCATTATTACCCTGGTTATTATTATTATTATTTATATTAATAATATTAGTACTAGACTTTGAACGACTTTGATTAGGTTTACGACGAGATAGGGAAGTTTCATCGTTATCGTGGTGATGGTGGTTGTTTTGAGGTGATACGGGAGTTGTCATTGAATTGGCAGATGATGAACTCGTTTCGGATTTTAATGTAGAAACTATTTTTTCCATATCATTATAATCATTATTTATATATATATATATACATAATCATCTTCATCGTTAATATATATATTAATTATTAATTATTCCCCCCCCAAAAAAATCATATTTCTTCCCGAAAGATTTAACTAACTTAATTTTAAATTAAACTCAAATTTAATTTAATTTAATTTAATTTAATTTTAATTTAATTTAAAATAATTTAATTTTAATTTAGTTTTAATTATAATATAATATAATATTAAGCTTAATTTAATTCAATTTAATTTAATTAAGCTTAATTAATTTAAAGTAATTATTAGAATGATTTTTAATAGAAACTGACCTGAACTTCTACGTCGTCTTCGTCTATTATTATTATTATAATAATAATTATTATTATTATTATTATTATTATTATTATTATTGTTATGGTTATTATTATTATTATAATATCCAATATTTGGTGATGAATCATTAACTTTCAAATGATAATTATCAATTTCTTCAATTTCTTCAATTTCAGTAAGTGAACCATCACTAATTCCAGTTAGAGGAATGACCATATTTTCCTTCATTGGACTACTTGTCAATGGACTAGTTGTCATTATCATCATATTTTCTTTTGATAATTCAGGAAAGTGAGTTAATTTTAACTCAGATGGTTTACAATTGATTTTCGTTACAAAGCTAGTTGGCGCATTATTATTCTTATTATTCATATTACTGTTATTCATATTACTGTTATTCATATTACTGTTATTCATATTACTGTTATTCATATTACTATTATTTTCGCGCAAACTATTGCTTGTTAAACGACGTATACGTAAATTCTGATTATCACTTATATCACTTAAATCATTTATGGTGGAATTTTCTGTTTTATATATGTTATTATCAAATTTGGTGTTAGAACTTGTACTGAAAATAGCATCAAAATATAAATTATCATTATGATTATCATTGATGTTATTTTTATTATTAATATCGTTGTTAATATCGTCGTTATTGTTGTTGTTATTGTTGTTGATGATGTTTTTATTATCGCTGTTGCCTTCATTATTTTTGTTATTATTATTGAGGTTGATATTATTTGTAATGATTTGCAACTTAGGTTTACCATTTCCTCTAAATGAATCATGAAAATCTTGATCGTTGGATTGAACTGGTAATAGATTTGAGGAATTACCAGAAATTAATTTATCTTCCAGTGAATTATATGGGCTTGGATCTGTGTGGCTAGGAATAGCCGTTGCCCGTTGAGTATTGTTAGTGGTGGTAGTGGTAGTAGTTCTAGGTGGAAAAGATGATTCAGTTCCAAGACTGATGTTAGAAAGAAATGTAAAAGCTGCTTGTCTCGAAGAATCTCGTCTACGGGGGATTCGACGAGGTGGCGTCCTGGTCATTGGTAAATTCAAAATGAATAAGCGTTTTCTTTACGCTCGGGAAAATTTCTAAAAAAACAATGTATTTGGGGGGTTATTTTTTACCAAAGTGTCGTCACATTGTCATACATACTTTCCATTTTGGTAATTTTTATTTATATTTACTGTTACTGTATATATTATTTATATTATTTATATTATTTATTTTTATTTATATTATTTATTTTATATATATATATTATATGTGTATATATTTTATTTTACTTATATATTTTATTTTTACTTACTTAACATATTTACTTATTTATTTTTGTTATTGCTAATCACGTAATTTCACGTGAAATATGTAAAATAGTGAATATAACAATTTTAATACAAATTTAATATATTTGACTAAATAGACTATACAGGGACATTGTCAGTTCACAAAGCATCTTCCATTGATTCCATGTTTGGAATTTTTTTTTTTGTATTAAAATAAAGTAATAGGAAAACATTGTTGGATCGACTGGTAAATCATTTTTTTAATAAGTTACAAATTTTTAATATAGAAATTTTTTATTGTGATTTAACATACACACGAGAGACAACGTTGAGAGACAATGTTGAGAGACAACAAAATTGAGAAAACTATTAAAACGCTAAATTATGAGGGAATTGACCTCTAGAGAGTGAGAATCTGGAATGTAAATAATCTCGAAGGTGAGGAGTCTTTTTTATCACTGCGTTAATACTTTTATCAACTTCTTTTTGATCTGAAGCTCTTGTTTCAGGAAGTGGTTTCTTTTTCTAACAAAAAAAAAAAATTTAATAATAATAATAAATTAATAAAAAAAAAAATTAATAAAAAAAATTAATAAAAAAAAAATTAATAAAAAAAAAAAATTAATAAAAAAAAATAAAGAATAAAAAAAAATAAAGAATAAATAACATTAATTATAATAATAATAAATATAATAATAAATATTATGAGTTGATTACTTTTTGCTCATCTTCAAAGAATTCTTTTTCTGTGATCTTCTTTTTGGATTCTTTAGCTTTCTTAAAATACGCGTCATCAAATTTATCAAGCTAATTTGTCATTATCATTATTATTATAAAAATTCAATTATTAAACATTATTAAATATGAGAATCCGGAATTATTATTATTATTTATATTAAAAAAAAAAAAAAAAACTTCAATTCTTACTGAACAAACGGTGGAAATGTTAATCTTCGTAGAAGTGGCAATAACGTAAGCTTGATTGACACGTCTCAAAGGTACACCATTAATTTTAAATGGTCCTGTTACTAATAATAATCCACTTGCGAGTTGCTTTAAAAATACAACCCGTTTTCCTCGGAAACGACCTGCTACCAAAATAAGAACGGTTCCGGGTGTAATAGAAGGACGAAGCTTGGTTGGCTTATTAACTTTACGAGATTTCTTAGGACGTGGAATATCTTCCGCTGGATAAAATCGTGGGGCTTTTTCCAAAGGAATCAAACGTTCTTTGCCATTCTTTTCACCACCTATTGGTTTCGTTTTGGTGGTTTCAACTTTGGTTTCGGTTTTGGGAACTTGCACTTTTTTCCGTTTATATAATGCTTTTTTGGAATAAATCACACTTCGGGAGTAACGTGGAACCCCCGGAACAAGAAAGCTATTACGTGGTGCGTGTACCATTTTTGCCACTAAAGAAATACGAACATTTTCTTTATTAACAACGTGTATGATCTTTTTTAATAATTATATATAAGTTGTAAATGGCGTAATTATATAATAGTTATAGTAATAGTCATGTATGTAGATTTTAAATCTCATTCTCAAATTTGAAAATTGGTCTTAAAAATAAAGATTCCATACTTTTATAACTTACACATACATTATAATTGATTAAGAATAATTAAAATAATAAAAGAACTTACCAAGACAAATTTAATGTCAGTGGATGGATCAAAAGAGGAAGAAATTTAGATAAAAGGTTAAATGAATTTATATGTAAAAAAAAATTTATTTTTAGAAATTGGTGATTGGATATTTTTTTTTTTTTTTTTTTTTGATCGATCAAATATATAAAAAATGTAAATAAAACATATTTTCAAAACTTTTTTAAAAAAAATGGCGAACTATGATTTAATTCCTCGAATGATTCCATATCTGGATAGACATCTTGTTTTGCCTTTGTTAAATTTTTTATCTTCGAATAAGGTTTTGTATTGGAACAAATACATATTCCCAAACAACATACCCATAAATTTATTATTTTCATTTTACAAAGATCTATCCAGATCATGATCTATTCAAAGCAAAATATGAATTATTGGCCAAGACGAATATGGTTGATTTTATTTCGGAATTGTATATAGAAATTCATGGAGATAAGGAAGTACCTTCAGGTAGTTAATTTTCTTAATTTTGTTAATTTTGTTAATTATGTCATATGACGTTTAAATATATTAAAAATTATGTACTTTTGATATATATATATATATTATGATAGAATTTTCTACCAAAAGGCAAGAAGTACTTCAAGGGTTGGAAACACTTCAAACTGAGGCTCAAAAAGTTATGGATATTATTACAAATCCGGAAGTAATTGCTGCTCTTCGTCAAGACAAATTACAGAATTTACATTTTCTCAAAGAAAAATATGGAGTAAGATTATTTATTTGTTTTGTAATCTAGTATGTTTGATACGCAAAATTGACATTTTTTTTTTTTTAAAAAAAAAAAACAAACAAACAAAAAAGCTCACCGATGAAATGGTTTTCACTCTTTATGAGTTTGGACAATTTCAATATAATTGTGGTATTTATGGAGGTGCATCGGATATGTTATACCATTTCCGAGTATTGGTTCGTAAAAACTGGATATTGTAGTAAATTTTAATCGGCGGAGACCGCATGAATTTCGATATAATATTTTAATTATTCATTCATATATATATATACATATATTTTCTTTAGTCTACAGATCATGATCTCAACTTATCTGCATTATGGGGAAAATTGGCTTCCGATATTTTAGATTGTAATTGGGATGCTACTTTAGAAGAAGTTCAAAAGTTGAAAGAAACAATCGATCAGAAGGTATCATTCGATTGTACATAATTAAAGTTGATTTTAAATTTATTAAAATTCTTATAATTATTTTTTTTTATTTATTAGAATTTTGCATCACCTCTTCACCAACTTCAACAGCGTACATGGTTCATTCATTGGTCAATTTTTGTATTCTTTAATCATCCCAAAGGACGTGATAGTATAATTGATGTATTTTTAAGTCCTTTTTACGTCAATACAATTCAAACATCATGTCCCTGGATTCTTAGATATCTTACTACAGCAGTGGTTACCAACAAACGTCGAAAAAATAATTTAAAAGATTTAATTAAAATTATTCAACAAGAAAGTTATGAGTACAAAGATCCAATTACAGAATTTATTGAGAGTCTTTATGTAAAATTTGATTTTGAAGGAGCCCAACATAAATTAAAAGAATGTGAGGAAGTTCTTTCAAATGATTTCTTCCTTGTGGCAACAAAAATGGAATTCATTGAAAATGCTCGATATTTAATATCAGAAACTTATTGTCGGATTCATTTGAAAATTGATATAAGGTTATTATACTTTATTTATACTCAATTGCATCTTATTTATTTATTTATTATTATTATTATTATTATTATTATTATTTACACTTCATTATATCTTATTTACACTTCATTTCACTTCATTTATACTTTATTTGTACTTTATTTTTTATAAAATATAGTGGTTTATCACAAACATTGAATTTGGGTCAAGAAGAAGGTGAAAAATGGATCGTTAATTTGATTCGGGATACTCGGGTCGATGCAAAAATCGATTTCAAAGAGGTTTGTAATATTTCATCAATTAAAATTTATTAATAAGTAATAATAAAATAAATAAATATTTATATTCTCCCTATTATATTATTATTCTATTAATCTATTAATTAGAATACTGTCATAATGAATCAAAATCATACATCTATTTACCAACAAGTAATTGAACGTACAAAAGGATTATCATTTAGATCTCAAGTATTAGCCTCAACTATTGAAAAACGTGAAGCTCATCAATTAACTAATGCTATTGAATCTGTAACAGAATAGGGAAAAAAAAATGATATACATTATATTTAACAAAATACTTTCTTTAAGGATGAATAAAAATAATAAAAATATTTATTTAATAATAATTTCTGACTTTTTTTTTTTCTAAATTAATCTGTTAAATTCAAAAGAATTGAATTAAAAAAACCTATATTTACAATGTGAGAATATGGGAATTTATTCATAAATCGTATATTTTGATTACCTGCTATTTACAGATCTTCACTCCTTTCAAAAACGGGAGTCACTTCTATAGTTGGTCTACCCTCACATCTTGTAAAATAGATTGATTTAATTATCAAATTATAATTATTTATATTATTATATTATTTTATATTATATTATTATTATTGTTTATTATTATTATTATTATTATTATTATTATTATTATTATTATTATTATTATTATTATTATTATTATTATTATTATTATAATTTTACTTAACTTTTTAAATATTCTTGTGAATGGTATACATAAAATTCTAGTTGTTTCAATATTACATTTATATTGCACTAATTCTATTAATTTGCATTTTACTTCTTTTTTATCCTCGTTGTTGTTTATGGAATTCTTTTGTTTTCGAAGAAACATTTTCTTTATAGTGATGGTAATATAAGTTTTACACTAAATTTCTATAATTAATTTATATCTAATCTTCTAAACATTTAAGGTTCTATCACGGTCCAATTGAATTCTTAGCATTAAATATAAGGGGGGTGAATTTTAATTAAATAAAAATAAGGAAATTGGCTTATTCCAGATTAACTATCTTTATCAGTTTGTTACACACTAAGCCCCATTTTTATAAACCAAAATTTTTTGTATTCAAAATAACTTAAATAAGAAATTATGTAAATCTCTGTGGCTCAAACCAATCAAAATTTAATGGCGCAACCCATGCGACATTTTGCAGGTGCGCCAAAAAAAAAAATTAATTCGGTATAGATTATAGATAATCTATTCCAGTATAATTTTCTATTATTCTATAAATGATACTTCCATTTTGTGGCAAAAGAAGATAAACTGGTGTGGCTTGTATGGGATTATATGTGCAGTTCTGGATAAATGCGAAAAACCGATGTGGCGCCTGTTCAGATTATTCAAAAATTGCTATATCAAGTTTGAATATGTAAGATTGGATCTCCTTGTCAAATTAGTTAGTACAAAATAATTACAAAAAAAAATCATTAAAAGGAGACGGAAAACCACCTCTCGAAGATAACAACAAATAAAATAAATTTTTTTCTTTCAAATAAAATGTTGCGAAATAGTTCAAATCCAACGGTAGCAAGAACAGGAAGAGAAAAACAAGTATATGAAAAAGGATGTATACGTCAGGTATTATATCAATTATTAATTTATTAATTTATCGGAATATTATGCTCAATAAATATATGTATCAGATATATATAAATTGTTTAAAATATTTGAAGATTCAAATATTTAAAATGTTCAAAATTGTGCTCAATAAATATATATCATATATTTAATTTGTTTAAATATTCAAAAGATTCAAAAAGATTCAAAGTTTAGTTGTTTAAAATGTTTAAAATTTTCAAATTATTCAAATATTCCAAATATTTCAAATATTTAAATAGGTGGCTGGATGTGTACCAATCAATAAAAAAACAGGAAAAATACTGTTAATAACGCGACGGAAAAATGAAGGCGGTTGGGTATTGGTGAATATTTGGCATTTATTTTATGTATACACCTAAATTTATATTATATAATATAATTCTAATAATTTCTAATAATTTTTAAAGCCTAAAGGTGGTTGGGAAAATGATGAATCAGACCGAGACGCTGCAGCAAGAGAAACATATGAAGAAGGTTTTTATAAATAGACATTTTTATGAATAATCATGACTACAATAATCATAATAATAATAATAATAATAATAATTTGTAGCTGGCGCCAAAGGAAAATTAACATCATTTATTGGAGCATGGAACCATCATACAGTCAACAAGAAAACAGGATTACCAAAAGCTAGTTTTCTTTTTTTTGAAATGGAAGTCGATAATTTAGAGGATATTTGGCCTGAAATGGATGAACGAGATAGACAATGGGTTGGTTTAAATAGTTATTATATTTGTTATATTTTGTTATATTTTGTTATATTTTTTCATATTTATCATATTTATTATTTTATTCATTTTTTTTTTTAGTTCGCTTACGAGGATGCTTTAAAAGCATTAATAAAACCTTTTATGCGCGAAGTAGTAAAGAAATGTTCATTGGCTCCATCAAATATACAAAACAATAAAGTAATTTGATTATACTTATATATATATATATTTATACTTATAATCAATTCAATATATTGATTATTAAATTTTATATTATATTATAAGCCAGGTCTTTCTATTTTAAAGAAAATTGGAGAGAATCGTAAGGAAATTAGTATATGGCAATTTTCGATTGTTATTATTATTTTAGTCATTTCCGTTTGGTATTTGACTATAAAATGTGATAAGGGTTTAGATTTTCCTTCCGAAAAGTTGACATCATTTCTTCCTTTTACGGGTGAACACTGAAATCACATTATTATAAACATTTACAAATTATTGAACATTATTACACATTATTACTTAATATTACACATTATTACGTACAACTTGGTGAGGTGTAAATCGCGTAAATCTTGGGGGGATTTTAATCATTATTATTATTATCCTAATTTCTTTTTTGTAAAATATTTTAGCATTTTTTTTTTTTGGTGATTAATTTGGAAGGGGTAATTTTTTTTGATTTAGAATAGAAAAAAACAATCTGTAATATATAGAAGGCAAATTTTGTCGCATTTAGAATTATTGTAGTGAACGTGACCACGGATGGTGTAATAAATAAATAAGATAATTTCCAGTATTCAATTATTTAATGGGACGTGTTTCAAAATTTAACTTTGTAACGTGAATATCTAATCAACATGATTTTAACATACTGTGACACAATTTCGTTTCTTTCAAAAGATAAACCTTTTTCTCTTTTTCTTTTTTCCAAATATATTACTACCGTTTTGGCTCTGTGGCTGCTTTCGTTTGCCTCCGTTATGCGGCATTGATTCTGTGTCAGTGTGATTTTATAATTTTTACATTAGTAAGCATATTATTATAAGCGTGCTTTTGAGCACAGTAATAACCAATAGAAAAGCTGCTGGAACATCTTCGAAATTGGTTCATTGAGTAAAAGTTAAAACTTTGGTTTTTTTTCGTGATTTGCTAATTAGGCATCAAGATAAAAAAAAAAATTTATTGAGTACTTAACATCAGATCCATAACAGATCGGAGAACATATTCTTTAATATCTTTCATATGTCTGGCATGTTTGATTTAAAGATTTTGATACTCCGTTAGATTTGCATACTTGTATATCTTACCTCAGTGAAGCAAAGTTCTACAGAACCAGGCACATTTGAAATATGGTCATTTTCCAAAAAATTCAATTCTCTGCAGAAGTTGTTCCACCAAAATTTTAGTTGGAATTTGCTGTGACTGATCACTTCATCAGTCATCATGGTGTTAATAATTCACAATTCACTATACATGTAATTTCTACATTTAAAGACACATTTTCTCTTTTTTTTTTTTTGAATTTTGGGAGTCAACCCTTGCGTGATGACTTATGGGTGTATACAAGTGGATCTTTCAGTGTATCACCATTGTTACTAGTCAACCTTTTGGGCTAAGTTTGTTTTTCAAATAAAATTACAATAATAAAGAACTTAGAATTTATAAGGACAATTATTAACTAACTATTAAGTTCAAGTAAGCAATTTAAGAAATTTGGGCTATGGGTTAAAAGAAATTATCAAGAGTTTATTATTAATAATTTATATTCAAAGAATATAAATTTGTTTATTATGAAATAAATCAATAATCCTATCAATTAGGATTGTCAAAAATATTAATTCAATATTAGAATTAATTACAATTGAGATTACTATCTAAATTTCACTATTTAAAATTATTTGAATCTTATTTGAAACTATTTGAATCTGTTTTGGGATGGAAGGAAAACTTACCCTTTTTATAATATTGGACTTGGTCAAAGACTTGATCAGTAATTAGGCCAATATCTTTGTCAATAAGAATGCCAATTAGTTGGCCATGAAATTGAACAATTAGTTGGTCAATTAGTTGGTTGCTAAATTGGCTATAATACATATTTATACAAATAGTATATAATATATAATATAAAATGCTAATAATATAATATGTTATAAAATAATAATAAAATAGTAATGGAGAAAATCACATATAACACTGTACTATTTCACTTTTTACACAGGTCAAATACAAAAGAATTGTTGTATCAAAAAGGAATTCCAATTTTAGCTAATTTATAATATAAGATGCAATAGGATGATATAGAACAATATTTTATTATTATATTATTTATTTATTTATATGTAATTATTTTTATAGTTTATTTATTGTTTAAATAAAATATAAGTAAATCATAGATTATATAACAGATGATATACCAGGTGAATCATCAGGTGCATCACTTAAATAAATTACCTGTTGCATGTAACAAGTATATCACTTAGGTAGATTACCTGTTATCAAAATTAGTAGATTTGTAAATTAGTTAATTACATAGTGTAGTAAATTAAAGAGATATAAAAATAAGTCTTTCTTGACCTTGGAAAAGGAAAAGAAACAAGAACAAAAATTCAAATAAAAGAATTGAATAGATCTGAAGTTCCTTTTATTAGTTTTTTATTTAATACCTTTAATTTTTAATTTTACTTTTATTTTGTATTTTATCTTTATATTTATTATTATATTTATTAATAAAGATATAACTTATTAAATATTATCATTAATTCTTTATATTATTAATTTGTCACATAATCTTCTATTTTAATAGTTATATTACTTCTATTGGATATAACAGTTCATTTCTTTCAGGTTTTTCAAATCTTTGACAAGTGTCACATGTTCTAATATATTCCTTGATATTGTCATACATTTGATTTTTAATAATATTTTCTTTTATTTTATTATAAGTTGTTTCTATTTCTAAATGTCTTATAGTAGGTTAATCATATATTATTTTCATTAATGATTCAAATTTCGATTGTCTTAATATTTTTAGTAATACATGATTTCATTTTCTTAGCTTCTTATACAATTGTATATTAATTAGTCAATAATATTTTGTTTTATTAATTAATTATCATTTTAATTTATCTTTTAAATTTTCATTAATTTTTTTCTCTTTTAAATACAAGATTATTTATTGATATAATTTTTTATCCATTTTCTATAGTCTTGACAAGGTATCTGCATTTGTATTTATTTTTTCAATATTTTAAAGTCAAAAGGTAATACTTTAACTATCTATTTTATTATTTTACTTTTGTTTTTTTATATTATTTTCTTTCAAATATTATATTACTATATGATTTGTCAGTAATACAAAATATTTATATTCCAAGTAATAGTAGAATTTTTCTACCATCTATACTATTGCACTCTATATATATTTTCAAATTTGATTTTGTTTTTTTAAGATTTACTCAGAATCTATTCTATATATAGAAGTAAAAAAAATATCTAGTTAAGTATATTTTTAATTAAAGAATTTATCTAAATAATTAAAAAATTTTGAATTTTAAATAAAATAATTTTGTCTTTTATAAAAAACTATTTTAACTTTTTTCTCAAAATTGTAATTTTGAAATCTTAAAATATACATGTTTTCAAAATTAATTTTTGATTTTTGAGATATTTTGTTTTTTGATATTTATACAGAATTTATTTTATATATGGAAATAAAAAAAATATCTAGTATTGACTGTAATCGGACTTTCAAGGGATACAATTAACTATTAGTTAAAGATACAATAACTATACTAAAATATAATAAACTACTAACTAATTTATACTAAAAAGTAGGATGTTTGAAGGATTTGGATATTACGAATTTGTTTGAAAGAGGTAAGGCTATGAGATTTTTATAAGGGTTTGACTAAACTATTCACAAAAAATATAACTAAACTAAACTAAATTGATATTTCTTAATACTAAATAGAGAATTATAACACAAAAACTGTATACCAAAATCACAAAACAAGATATAATTTAACAAGAGTTTTAGTATTTTACCAAGGAATAATATAGAATTTCACTAAGAAATTACAGTGGTATAAATAATAATCCATATAGATATTTATTATTTATAAGGTAAATCACAAAGTATTTTTATTAACAAGAACTAGAACTGAATTGAACTTAATTGAACTGAGAACCGAGCAAAGAGAAATTCAACTCTTTATATATATAATTGAAGTTATAATAGATTACGCTGTAGACTACACTAATGCATATACTATTAATTACACTGATGTATACACTATTAACTACATTTTCTACTATGCTATCTATTACACTATTTATTACACTATTGAATACACTATTGATTATGCTATACATTATGCTGTTGATTATACTCAAATCTACAGTTGTAATATCTAATAGTTGTACTAATTTCTAAATGATTTACACTAATAATTTCTTATATATATATACTAATAAAAATATGACATTAAACTAATAAAATATAGTTATAAATAAGCTAATACATGATAATAATATAATAAATAAATAAGATAAAAATATAGTAATAATAAAATTTGACAACTAGGGTTAACACTAGTTAAGTATATCTTTAATCAAAAAATTTATCTAGATAGTCAAAAAATTTTGAATTTTAAGTAAAATAATTTTGTTTTCTATAAAAAACTATTTTATCTTTTTTCCTTAAAATTACAATTTTAAGATTTCAAAATAATTTTGCATATAAATATACTCTAAAATAATTTTGTGTACAAGTTATACTATATTCAATTCTAATTTTATTAAATTATAATTTTTTATGAATCTTCCTATATTTTAACTTGTATATGATATTACATATTCTTTTCTTTTATTATCTATTTGTATTAATATTACTTCAAATCCCTTTGCAAACCCATCAGTTATTAAATAAAATATTTTATTAAAATCTAAATGTTTTAATATTGGTATTGTTATTAAAGCTTGTTTTAATGTTTTGAATACTTCTTCCTGTTTTTTGATTCATTTAAAGATTCATTTTTCTTAACTAATTAATTTATTGGTTTAATTATTTGTATAAGTTTCTAATAAATTTCTTATAGTATGAAACAAGTTCTAAGAAACTTCTAATTTTTGTTACAGTAATAGGTCTTAAAAAGTCTCTTACTTTTTCTATTTTTTTAGAGTCTGGTTTTATTTCCTCTTTTCTATATTAGTAATTATATTAATACAAAGGTTTTTTAAATATATCATAACATTAGATTTTGAAGGTTATCATTTATATTGTAAATTTCTGAATTCAGAATCTATTATTAAATTTTAATATGTTGTTATGGGTGTTATTATTAACATTCACTCAACAGTTCTTTTAAGGAGTTTATAGTCCTTCCCTATAGGTACAAGACTCTCAGTTTAATTATTTCTTGAATTTTAGAAAGTACCAGTTAGTTTTTAAATAGAACTAACAAACT